TCTTGAACCTTCAATCGAAAAGACGAAAAATTTTGGTTAAACCGCTTTACATGACGGCCAATTTGCTCCGTGTTCCGATTTAATTTACCATCAATTAACAGTTTATTAAAAACTGCAAGTACTCAGTTCAATAACTTAGTTAAATGGAACACCGCGCGCAATTGCGTTTCAAAGAAAACTTTAATCACTTTCGGTAGTCGTTTGTGTTTTTACGATTTTCCATTGGTTTTCACTAAGACGCAACTTAACTAACGAAATTTCCATGGTAGCGAGAGGAGAAATCACAGTAAGCCAACTTCCGTAAAGCTCGCTTGATAATGCCCCAAAAAGTACCAAATTAGCCGCCGCAAGCCGTGAGTTAGTCGCAGGGCGAAACTTTGCAGTTAACAGCAGAAATCAGCCAACTTTTCAATCAAAAGCATTAGCAGGTAGGTTTTCTTCAAGAACAAAGTGACGAGAAAGGCTTCCTTTTTGATATGTAAACAACTGAAGGCGTTCCAGGGTTACGTAAAAAGTTCGTGTTAAACTGAAATGAATTAGCCTAATCTGTTACTGACATGAACCTCTGCTCAAAACTGACACGCAATCATGCATGCAGAACCAGGCTTGCGCACGGTGATTAAAAGCATCGCAGAAAGGCCTCTATACTCGATTTCTGTCAAATTTTAATATCAGGTAGGCTTAAGCATAATCAGAACCAATGCTTTTTGCGGGCAAAATGCCCTGTTGTTTGAAAAAAAAACCTCAATGATGTAAATCCAAAAAATTAATCTTCGGTGCTTCATCTTTACACCACAGTTTGTAATCTCTGAACTGCTAGATTCAAACGCCTTCCATACACTCAAACCTTTATGCATGATTCCCAAATTTACTCTGGACTGATTTTAGTAACCATGGACTAATTTTGATGCGGCTGAAAATACCTCGTTGATAATGCTAACTGTAACATTGTGAAAAACCCCAAATGAAACACACTTGGAATTACTTTATTCTAGAAGAATATTCCACTTATTTCTAAAAAAATGTGTTTTGGGGCAAATTATACACTACAGCTTTCAGTTTTTGCGATCAACGGGTAGTTAGCAGTTCTTACGCAAAATTTAGTCCGCTCCACTCATCTTAATATTCAGTATGTACAGCTGAAGTAAGAACCATGACAACAATTTGGAAATATTTATTTTCATATGATTCTCCGCAACGAAATGATCAAACAAATGGCAAGATCTTGAGGTTCTCTGTTATTTTTGTTTGCTCTTTTTCGGTCAGTTGATATGCCTGATATGTGGTTTTGGGTGAGTGGATGGGTTCTAATTTTAGTCACTGTGACTGGCAACGGCCTTGTGATGTACTTCATCATGACAAAACCTCGGCGCCAAATTCTTCTACACCGTCGACCTCACCCATGCTTGTCTCTTTTTCAGAGTCAGCTTCGCTTTCTTGTATTGCTCCAACACCAATCTCTTCGCCATGACGATCGACCGCTTCCTTGCCATCACAAATTAAAGCCTTTGAATATATGTCTTACATGACGAAAGAAACTGTTTGGGTGATGATTATTATGGTTTGGAATGGCCCATTTCTACTCTTCTTTTTGCGCTATTCAGTGTAGCAACTGTATTGAAGAAGAGCGCTATATTGGACCGACAAGAGATCAAAGCTCGAAAAAAGTTTCTCTTAGACAACATGAAAGCAACGTCTTACAACCCAACTACGACCAGACTTAAAGAAGCGATTTGTGACGGGAGAATGTATCAAACTCGGCATCTCATTGGGAGCGGAGTTGACCTGAATTTTGTGGACGAACGGGGTTTGACTCCTCTTATGCATGCTGCGCAGTTACCTGACGAGAAATGTCGCACACCTAACAACTTACTCAAACTCTTGTTGCAGCACGGTGCGTATGTAAACATCGTTGACAAGAAAGGGCCGACATGTGCTGTCTAGGGCTTGCATCGACGACAGAGAATATATTGTTAGACTACTGGTTAATGTCGCTAAACAGGAGGTTGATTTGAACCTATGAGATGAAACACTTCAGTCATGCACTCCGTTCGCACAGGTAACGCCACTTTAGTGAAGTTTATAGTTAGCGAACTGAATAAGTTTCAAGTTGACATAGATGTTCGAAATCTCAAAGACAGAACACCCTATTTGGAGGCCAAACAACTGGGGAATGAAGAGTGTGCGACTATCCTGTTGACTGACGGGAATGCGTCAACAATTATTCAGGTGAATCCTATTTTGGATTTTATGAGCGTAAAAGAAGAGAAATCTTGGAGCGGTAAGGTGCGAGGTGTCGAGGAAAGTAAATATGCTGCGATTAGCAACTCTGCTGAGAGGAAACAATCTAATCCCCGGATTATTCAAAAGAAACAAATTCCTACAAAGAAGACTCCTACTTCAAACGGCGAGAAATCATCTTCAAACCACGAAAGGGTCTTAAAAAGAAAGACGAGCTCACCTAGAAAAGTTTCAAGTGCAAGTCTAGTGACTGTAGACACCAAACACAAGGAAAAGTGTCAGTATGCCCGCCGGCGTAAGTATGCGTGGCATGAGAGAATTATGAAACACCCGATATCACGCAAGGAGGAAGTTGAGAAAGAATTAGAATTGGCCACAACAGAATTAGAGAGGGGGTAGGATGACGCTAACCCAGACGGCATCAGTGAACTCAGGTGCTTATTTGACACTAAAAAATCTTTTATTGAAAGACAAGCAATGGCAAATTCTAAAGGACAAACGCGCCAGGTGATACATACAGTGTCAATTGCTACGTCCGTTCGAGCGGACACAATTCGGCGAAGTCTAAATATCAACACAAAGTTGCATCCGCCAAATTCTGCTGTTGGACGGAAGTCGAAAGAATTTTCCATAACATGCAATCATGATCGTTCGTACCCTTCGTCAAAAACTTCGGAGAATGTTGCTGTGGACGACGAGTAAAGCTGGCATTTGCATTTCAGTGTCTTTAATTCCCCATCAGTGTCTTTTCTTCCTAAAATAATAGCCATTTATGCGGAGCAAATGTCCCCCGACTCTTCTTTTCATTTCGGTGCCGGCCCGGAGAGGACTACGAAGAAACCCGACGAGCCGATAGTGCCAAAGATCTCTGTTGTAGCTATGGGGGCCAATGAAGACCTGCAATCCGAAGGAGGTCGTTATTTTCCATCAAGGTCAGCGCTGTCTAGCGGGTGCAACAGTGCTTCAGGTACCACCTCGAATCGTAGATTTCAGTCGGCTGAAAAACAGTTGCATCATATTTACCAGGGAAAAGATCTCTTTCAACGTTCAAAGTACAGGATGTAGATTTCTGATTAGTACTTGGCCTGTCCAGCGAAAGCTTAACAGGACGGGACTAAGACAGTTTTTGAGTCTTAAGTGGCTGCTTAATTTAAGCAGCTACTTTCATTCATTTATAAACCAACCAAAGTTATTCTGCTCACTAAACAATACACTCATTTTCGTATGGAGTTTTTGTTTCTCACAAGTTTGATGCACCGATTAGCTTTCCAATTAGGATACATGGTAGTTTGTAAGAAAGAAGACTTGCATCAGTTTATTTCACTGTATAATAAGTTGGGCTTATGAATTGTTCGAGACATATCAAGGAACAACTCTATCTAAAAGAAAATCAGGGATGCAGAACATAACACTCACGTCACACTGTTAACCTACGGTCTAAGATAAAACGAACTCTCTTTTTCCTTATGCCGCAGTAACTTCGGCTGATTATTACTTTGGTTTTGAGTCGCGCTACGAAGTACAGTTAAACCTGCATTATGAGGTCAGCCATGGGGAATAGCGAGGTGAAAGTCTCAAAACCTGGATATTAAAAAAAACGATAAAAAAGGCACTTCATGCCGTAATTGACCACCAACACTCGCTCAAAAATAGTGCTAACATCGACTTTGAGTAGTTAAACTTTAAGTGATCGCTTTAAGTGATCGCTCAATACAGGTGAGAGACAAAACAAACCGGCCGTCATCTCGTTCTCACACTTTCCGCTTCTTCTTTTGTTCAAATTTGAGGGGAATGGAAACCTACTTCTGTTCGATTTTGTGGGGGAGTGGAAACCAGACAGTGAAGTTCAGGGAGTAAGAGATAATTACAAGCAAACTTTTGAAGTGATACCTCTCAATTTGTCCTGCTTAATTACCTCAAGTATCATCCTTGTAATATAAATTCTATGAAGCCTTCATGAGGTTTGGCAGTCAGCCGCGTGACCTGAAAATCGTTCTTGGGATCGATCTTGAGGCCAGAATTTGTTTGCAGGACTTCTCAATTATTTACTGCAAGCAAAATAACAAATTTTCCCGTTTATCTTATCATGGTTTGTGGCAAGCAGTTCTGTTTAAGAAATAAGGAAAAAAAAAAAAAGAAATAATAACACAAACCCCGTGTGAGGATCGAACTCACGACCTTTACATTATATCTAATTTACGCGCTGCCTACTGCGCCAACGAGGCATTAGCCAAAAGATGAGGGTAATAAAAATATATTTAAACATTTTTCAATTTTTTTTTCCCACGAGTTCACCAAACCCAAAAACTATATCAGTTTATTAATCCGGGTTCCTCGTTGCTTCTTCCCAAAAGAAAATACGAGACAAAGTCTGCGACATATATTAGCGCTTACAATATATGTATATACGTGAGGAAAAGCGGGATCCTGATGGCAGAAGTAACATTAAGCCAGGGATTGTCACTGACTCTAGGAGACCACAGTGCACGATCTTCATTCAAAATTTATGGAGATACAAGAAAGCTTGTTGATGGAATCTCAACTTCTCCTACCATTTCTGTGCTTGAACTTCAACCTTTCTATGGAGCTCACGTTCCGTATTATTGGTTGATCAGTCAACTGACAATCTGATTCAACTTATTTTGAACAATCCTGCAGCAACTGAATTGATTTCCAGCATCAAAGGTGATTTTCCAGTTATAAGATACTCTTTACGCTATTGAACTCCAGGATGGTTCAATTATTAGAAGACAGAAAAAGGGAGAGCTAAAATTTTATGATTTTTTTTTAATTAGACACTAAATGGCTTGACAACAACTTATGAAACACTTTACACCTTTATAACATTCTCACTTGGGTTTCACTCCTGTGATACTTTTTTCTTATATTTTTGTGCAAGCTTCTACCAAATTTTAACTTAAATCGTAGGTTAACAACAAAGGTGAATAAATAAAGGAGCCAGATGAAAATACATTATCTGACCTGTGCACTTGATATATGTGTGCAGTGGAGTAAATACGATTAGTGGCGTAGCATTGTAAAAACAATTAAGCCACCTACTAAATAACATGCTAGGACTAAAGTCAATAAATAATGAGTAATAGATGCAACTGAATGCTGAGTAGATAGTTAAATCATGTTTATAAGTACTAATAAACCTAATCATATTGAAATAAAATCAGTTGCGGAAACTTCTGACAACACTGGAAACGCAACACGGCCGTAAATATGCTTTCACGATTATCTATTTAGCATACCATACTAACTTCCTTTCTCCTGTAGCTGTTTGTACTTGTCTACGACAACTCAGACTATCAAAAAATGAAAACAAACATTGCGGGCACGCACTAGTCACTGTAATACCTTATATGAGTTATCCTCTAATGCTCTTGGTTAAATAAATGCGTCATTTTAATGATATAACGGTATGTAACCTTTCTATTACTAAAACGATAACTAGAACTAAAAAGGACTTGATGAGTCAATGCTGGCAATTACAGACGTGTATCCAGTACCGCATCATCTTCTTCGTAATCTCCTGTTGAATAACAAAGTAACTCATTATCATGATACTTTAGTCAACATTGTCGCCTAAAACAAATAACCAAGAGTTTTGGAGTAACGAAGAAATATTTCCTCTACCCAGACTGATAAGCGAGAAATTAATGCTCCAAAACTTTGAATTTTGGCGAAAATGGAGGGTGGCAAAACATACCTTCCTCTGCAATCAGCTGCTGCTGTCGTGAAGATTTATCTTCCGCGGACTCATCAGCCTGCTGTGGGGAGTCCCCACAGGCTCCTTTTGACTTCTCGTCTTCCAGTTGCTTTTGGTTGGGTTTTTCATACTCTCCTTTTGGCTTTTCAGTTTCCAGTTGCTCTTGTTTAGGTTCCTGATTCTCTCCTTTTGGTTTTCCTTGCTGCAGTTGGTCTTTCATAGGTTCTTCATGGTCTTCTTTTGGTTGCTCATAATCCAGTTGCTCTTTCTTAGAATCTCCACCGTCTCCTTTTGGTTTTTCTTGTCCAATTTGCTCGAGTTTAGGATCCTTATGGTCTTGTTCTCGTTCTTCTTGATCAAAATTAATTTGCTGCTTTTCGGTTTCTTCAGGGTGTTCTTCTTTCTCCTGCTCATCTTGTTCATTTTCCTCTTGTTGCTGTTCACTTTCGTTTTCATTTCTTTTCGACTTGTTCTTCTCTTTACTTGCATCCTTTAGCTCATCAGGCCCTGCATGGTCGACGTTCGGTTCTTTTTCTTCTTGTTGTTGAGTGCCCTGTTGTTTGGATTCCTGGTCGTCTCCTTTCAGCTTTCGCTCAGGTTTTTCATCGGCTTCATTTAGCTCCTGTTTTTCTCGTTGCGTCTCACTTACTTCTTTGTTTCCCTTTGAATCTGCTTGATGATCTTGTTCAACTTCCTGCTCTGTAGTTGGTTCTTCATGGTCATCTTTTGGTGCTTCGTTTCTTTTAGATTCAACCTGCTGCTGTTCAGTGGGTTCTTCTTGGCCTCGCTCTGGTTCTTCGTCTTTTTCACGTTTAACTTCCTGCTGTTTAGTCGCTTCTTCTGGGCCTTGTTTTCGTTCTTCGTCTTGTTCACGTTTAACTTCCTGCTGTTCAGTCGCTTCTTCTGGGCCTTGTTTTCGTTCTTCGTCTTGTTCACGTTCAACTTGCTGCTGTTCAGTCGCTTCTTCTGGGCCTGGTTTTCGTTCTTCGTCTTGTTCACGTTCAACTTGCTGATGTTCAGTGGCGTCTTCTTTTCCTTGTTTTGGTTCTTCGTCTTGTTCATGTTCAACTTGCTGGGATTCAAAAGGTTGTTCATTGTCTTCGCCTGATCCTGCATGGTGCTCACCATCTCCTTGTTCTTCTTGCGATTCATCCTCACTATCGTCAGTGCTCCCCACTTCCTCTTGGTTTTGTACTGTGTTCAATAAAATAAACACAAAAAGGGAATAAGGTTAAAAAGTGTTTCCTCAGGTGGTTGTAGTTGGCCAAATCGCCAAATTTGTTATACGAACTACACCGTGCTTTTTGCATTTGGTAACCGCATCGTGTAACTTCTCCGTCCTCAATCATTTACGCTCCGCTTTTACTCTTTCCGAATATCTCTTTGTGGCTTTGATACCTTATTAAAACCATTATTTGAAAACTTTTCACGGTCGACCAAACAAGTAGCCTATGTTGCCGTGCGTCTGTTCATTCATAGATAACATATGACGACAAAATGTGGTAACATCAAAAATGTGGTGCACTGGACTCAGCCGATTAACTCTCCGATGTTCTTAGCCCATTTCGATTTTTTATGTGAGTGTTTTATGACAAAAAGCGAAATATTGTTAGTGGTGAAAAAATCTATAAGTCTTCCCTCCACTAAATAATAATTGAGAATCAGTCAAAGTAGGATTAAGCATATTACGTAAACAAAAATTACAGTCATTAAATTGACTCAAAATGTGGTTGTCTGTAAACTTCAAACTGGGGGCTAAATTACTTTTTATGCGTTTCTTATAGTGGCAAAAAGGTCGAACCGAATTGCTTCAAAGTTACTGTTTTGCTCTTGTTTTTTGAATGCTAGGTGTTGCGTTCTGAAATTTGTTTTAGTCTGTGGAGAAGTGAATGGTGCGTACCTTCTTCGATGACTCTCATCTCTATTCCCTGATCTTGAACTGACGGAAAAATACAAGCAAGCGGAAAAAACATCAGCAATAACAAATTATTCATTCATGAGGCAACGTCTTTTTTTATCATTTGAGGTTGAGTCAACCTATGTGTTTAAATGAAATACTCAAGCTCACGCGCCACTAAATACATAGATCTGTTTGTTTCTTATTCATATGGGTAACCAAAAGTATCTCTTGGCTTACGAGCCGATCTGATTGATTAACCCACGGTATATCTGCTCTTAAACCTGTTTAAAACGTAACTTTATGGCATGAAACCAAAAAATTAAAGAACGAGAAAAATACTCCCCAGAATGATGAAAGATTATTTAAAGTGTCAAAAATTACCTTCAACATCTTGATTTCGGCCGAGTTTTGCCACCAGATAATCCCACAATGGTTGGAGTTTGGCTCTGATGACTCCTCGGACCTTAATACATCGAAACCAAACACGAGGTTATAATCAGTAAATAGTGCTTCCTCACCAGTTTTAAACCCTTCGAGTCTTTGATTTCCCCAGGAATGCAAACTACGTTTGCGCAGCTTTCAGCCACTCTCAAACCGAGTGCCATACAATGAAAACGTGCACGTTTTACATACAGAAGAGAGTTCTGAGGCAAAGGGATCTCAGAAATGGCGGAAATCAAGTTTACCAGCTGATATAAAATACGGTAAAATTATACACAGTGAGACACTTCTTGGCGGTTCGTGTTTCACTTATTTATTCTTGTCGAATTTAGATGTGATCTGTGATCTGAGAGACATGATATAAATACAAAATTTAACTTATTGGCTGAATATATACTTTTCCAACCGCTCAAGTTGAGAGTACATGTACCTGTGGGGTAGACAAGGTGTAAAGAATGGGATTGATGGCAGAGTTAACCGGCAGAACAAAGACTGCGATCCAAACTGCGAGGTCACCAGGTGTACGGAAGGATTTTTCCAAGAGAGACCTCATTCCAATCGCCACAATAGGCAGCCAGCAGACACAGTCGGTAAGAACAATGAAGAACACTCTTTTGGCGAGCGAGGCCTCCCTCCTTAGATCGGCTGCCCTTGCCTTGGCTTTCATTCTCCTCTCTCTTTCGGTCCCTTGCTTAGCCATGCGCCTGTTTGATGCGCAGGACTTATAGATTATCATCGCATATGCCACAACGACAAAGAGCACAAGGGTAAAGTTTAAACCCACAAACATGGCAACAGAGTACTCCCAGCCCGACGGCTTATCTGTGGAAAGCTGCAATGGCAGACATACAACTGATCTGCCATAAAAGTGATGACCTTTCTGGCGACTACCGAAGTAGTCGAAGCCCACCGTGGGAATAAATGCAATTATGCCACCAACAATCCAGATAAGGAAGCACAAAAGGTGCGTAACCTTAAGTGTAAGGGACTTTCCCCGATAGGGGAACAGAACATTCTTCATCCGGTCGGCGGAGAGCAAACAAATCGTCATTACAGACACCTCACTTGACAACACGGCAATGGCACCTGTTACCTGACATGTCAAACTTGAACGCCAGTAATAGTTATGCAAATAATACTCCCCTGCCCAAATGGCATCCACCACACCTATAGTTAGGAGGTAGACACCCATAAGTCCATCGGACCCAGCCAAATGTATCAACATGATGGACTGTATCTTGTTTTTCTTCTTCGTCTCCCTAAACACCAATCGCCACACAATGACAAACACAGCACCAACCAACGACATAATTCCAATCACCCAGAGGCACTCCCTAGGAGCTCGATTTCTGAACAAAGTTTCACAACTGGCGAAGCTGTCGACATAAGCAAAGTCGCAATCTGCATCCTGCTTCGTCAAATGGCAACACATCAGGTTGGTGTCTACAGTCCTACGGTTCATAAAAAGAGTTCAGATGAACAACAAAAGGGAAAACCAGCCTAATTTAAATAGAGAATTCACAGAGTTCACATAGTGACCTGTGACAAAGCTGGCAGCGGAAAACTGAATATACTGAAGCTTTTAAAGCAGATTTTCACTGAGCGGGTAAAATACAATGTCACTAAAGTCTAAGCGTGATAGAACTAACGATTCGGCAAGGTCCTTTCTCAACTTATAATTAGTGAAGTTCTTGACTTTTTAAGCGTGGCTAAGGTACCATAACATGAAGCAGCTAAATGTTTCATACGGTCGTCCCATTTGGGGTTACTGTCGACGTTAACCCCGAGCAACTTTCTAGATTCGACTCGCTCAAGAGAGTTGTCTCCGACAGTGAAATTAAGTGCGCAATCTGCTAATTTGTGATGGGATGACATTTGCTGGGTGGAGAGAACCATTAATTTGGTCTTATTAGGGTTAAAGGTACGGTTAGAGTCCTAAGACCATGATCCAAGTTTGGTAAGGGATTCGTTTAAATCGCACGTCGTTGATTCCAATTCCCTTACTGCACAGTGGGTGTAGAGGGATGTGTCATCAGCGTACTGAGAACAAGATGTGGATAGATCGAGGTTGTCTCGGAGGTCTGATACATATAAATTGAAGATCATCGGCCCGAGGATCGATCCTTTAGGTATTCCAAACTGTGACAATTTGTGGTGTGATTTAGTGTCATCAATTTGTACGAATTGTGTTCCACCAGATAAATAGCTGAGGAGTCACTTTAAATAATTTTTGGAGAAGCCGAGTTTGTAGAATTTCTTTAGCGTCGTCTTGAAACAAACCGTATCAAAAACCTTAGAAAAATCGGTGAGAACCATCAGGGTGACCTCTTTCCTTTTCATAGCGAGCTTTATATCATCTCTTATTCCAAGAAGGGCAGTAGTGGTAGAGTTTCCTTCACGGAAACTGGAAATGTTATCACGAAGAAGAGAGACGCTATTTGCGAACTCCGACATCTGCCAGCCGACCAACCTTTCGAACACCTTAGACAACACCGGTAATATCGAGATTGGTCTTAGTTCGTCATTGGTCGTTGGGTTGTCTACCTTGGGTATGGGCGACACTCTGGCGATCTTCGAAAGCTTTGGGAAGTATGCTTCAGTTATACAACTGTTAATGATTCAAGTAAGGGGGCCCGCCAAGTGGTCAGCCACTAGCTCTATGAATACAGTTGGAATCTGATCGGCTCTCGAGGAACAATCGGTTTGAAGAAAGCAATTAAAGGAAGATGAACCACCTTCGAATGTGCAGGTGCTTATTTGAGGGTGCGCTTATTAAAAAGAGGATACTTATCAGAGGGGGGGTGCTTATCAGAGGGGGTTGCTCATCAGAGGGGGAGGGGTGCTTATTAAAGAGAGGGTGCTTGTTAGAGGGGGCGTTTATTAGAGGAGGTGCTTCTTAGAGAAGGTGCTTATTAGACAGGGACCTTATTAGAAAGGGGGTGCCTATCACAGAAGGAGTGCTTTAGCATGAGGGCGCCAAATCGAATCATTACGGTACTGATCACTTGGTACAGTACCTGTTTTTAAAAACAGTAACAAAAGCTATTGATTTTAACAGTTGACTCATTAGTTCATGCTAACTTATTACTCACTTGTTTAGGCGTAGCATCCTTTGTCGTAATTCTTTGAAACATTTTAGTTTCATCAGTAATACAGTCCACTTTGTTCCTACATTTCTTAATGGTCATTTCTTGCTCTTCCTGTTTCCGCAACACGTCTTGAGTTCATTTTTACATGTCCAAGAGGGAATCCAACTGTTTTACATCTTCTGCGAAAGTATCATCAATAATTAATTCTTTTATGATGAGCAGTCATAGGGGACACTCTATGTGTTTTGGTTCTTCAAGTTCACAGTGTTCATCAATCAACTTTCCCGAATAGTGGGTGATTCCAACGGTACTTCTTTACTACGCTCTGTAATTTGTCTGTAGAACCTAAGTAACTTGTGAAATCTTGAAATTTAAGATGCAAAGGGAAAAAAAACACTCACCATAGAGGTAGCAATGTTTACCAGTGATGCCCTTGGTTATCTGAAGTGAGAATCCTTATCGACAACTTGTGATATTGTGGACACAGGCAGGCCAGTTGGCGGAACCTGGGAGTTAAACTAGGAGCAACCAAAAACAAATCCAGTGAGCAACAGGGTGAAGAGCTGAACTCAGAACCACAAGAGCACAAGTCAAGTGCCCCAACCACTCGACCATAATGTCTCCAATAATGCTGGCAAAATTCATGTGAATGTCACATTTACAATTATAATATTCCACATATATTTTAAGATACAAGGTGTAGTAAAATGAAGGCTCATGGAGAACTATAAAGATCATTGGCAGACTTTTTAAGAAAATATCTAATAACTAGGCTTGAACTGAGCCAATTGAGCACTAGGATAAAAAAAACCTGTCATTCAAAATGAGACCATCAATGTGTCAGAAAAGTCATGATACATGTATCATATTTTACTCTGTCTTTTCTCATTGCTGTGTTCTTCTCCCAGTTTTACATTTATTAAAAAAAAAAGAATGGTTTCCTCTTGTCATTCTCAACAGTTATTTTGCTTTTAACTTTTAAGTTAAAAATATTGTGATAATAATAATAATGTGATAATTTTAATGTGATCTGTCTGTGATTAAAATCACAGACAGATCACATTACCAAAATATTTAGAACAGATTACCCAAGAATTTTTTCATTTTTGCCTTCATGAAGTAGCTTCCTTAAAAAAGTTCCAACAAACCTGGCATGTTGTCCATTGCACCCAAACTTTTGCTGCTTAAGTCATCTCAGCATCATTATCACTTCAATCTGCCTTTAAAAAAATCAGCATTTAATTATTATAATTATTATAAATATATTATGCCATGAAAACAAATTCACCCAAATGACTAGAATAATTTGGCCACTGCTTACCCTGTAAAAACTATAAAAACCAGGTATATAATTATATAATATATAATTATATTCCTGGTTTTTATAGCCAATTGAACCAAGGGAAAAAACACCAAACTTAAGAAAAATGTTCATAAAATGAAAACAGTTAGGGGAGGAAAAAATAACAGGACTTAAATGTTGATTTAACATAAAAATCCTGATTTGATTCTGGTTGAATGATGAATGCAGATTTTATCATCTTTACACTTTCCTCACCTGTTGAAAATTTTCAAAAAGGTTTTCCTGCTCTGCATCAGTTATATTGACCAACATTCCTTCAACACTTTGAACAAAAACTTGTTGAAGGACTAAAAATTAAAAGGAGAGCAAGACATGAAAAAAGTGAGTTTCTGTCAAAGGAGCCTTTGCGTACATGTATGTCAGTTTTATATAAGGAGGCAGTGTTGTCTAGTCCTTAGCGCAACTTCAAGCTCTTCACTCTCTTACTTAAAGGATTTGTTCTCAGCTGCTGTGAGTTCAACCACACTGTACCAAACTACAATTTGCACATTGTGAATAACATGCCTACTTGGAAATTAACTAACCCCCACTTTCTTGCCTTAATGAGACCATAAAAAACTCCATGCAGTTCAACCAATTGTTAATGTCTTGATTCAGAGTTAAAATGCATGCAAATATTGAGGTGATTCCTCAGTTTATCACCACACATCCTGTATTGTGCATTAAAATCATGTAATCAGGGGAATGAGGATGTGCACATTCCAAGAACATGGTATTGCTTTTCAATCCATGGACCAGGTAAAAAGGTACACTGGTCTTTAGATCTTGAATGAGTACAGTGACCTAATTATGGTGTACCATTTTTCTCCTTTAAATTAGGGATTTAAAAAATTCTTCAAAGGGGAAAAAAGATAAGCTAAAAGCATGCACAGAGCCCTTTATTTGAGGATGCAAATTAAGATGTTGAAAGAAACGGCTCAAGGAACCTTTTCGAGTCTATGTCATTTAAATTTGCCTGATTTTCCCACAAATTATACAGATCAGATTGTTCCATATGCTCCAAACTTTCTACCTACTGTATCAAGTTTTTTTTAAAGGGTTACTTTAAAAACCCTTGCTTCCACCTGCAGCAAAATGTCCCGTGCACCGATGAAATGACACACATGATTAGCGCAGGCATAAACTTAATGGGGTATGTTTGGCCCATTAAACTTATAAACAAACACAGTGACTTATCTTTTTAAAAATTAATGTACTTTTCAAAACAGACATTTACAAGGAACATCTAAGGAAAGTTTAAGGAAAATTGTGCAATAAATTTTTTTTCAGGGGAATTACCTTAACTAAATTAGTCTTTTTTAAAGAAAGATACTGAATGCTCTTCTTTTTTCCAGATTTAATTTGTTCACACAAAATAAACCATGCCAATTCATTAAAGTTCTCTTGCAAAGAAAAGCAAAGGTGACTATAATCTTCAAGCAAAGTGCCTGTGTTATAGTTTAAAAGGCACTCAATAACAGAGACATTCTGTAACTTGTTCTAATTTATCGCAAATTCTTCATTTTAAAAGAAGTTTTACAAATTAAGGCTCATTTACTTTCTTTTCAAATTCATTTTCTACACCACACAGTTTATAAATAAAAAACATTCTTAAGTCTCTTTGTCTACGAGAAAGTGTTCCAGAGGACAGAAACACGCTAAGGGACACTGTAACTGATTATGATGAAACTTGTTGCAAAAGATACTTTGGTGAGATACTCTAAAAGCCACAGAAATTACAATTTCTGCATTTAACTTCAAAATTCTAGGGGAGACCACTTGATGCCTGCAGAACACAACTGAAACTAAGGTTTCTCAATGTCCATACCTTAGCTTAATTAAAAATCTGATGAGACGAATTGGCCAACTTACATTTAAATGCTATTGAGGTCAACTTTGAAGAACCCGATCAAAAATTTGAATTTTGTAAAAGGGATTAACCCTCTATTATTTTATAGCCCTATGCTTAAGAGCTTATGATAAGCAACCTTTCTTGCAACAAATCACCATGATAGAACCTTAAATTCATTTAGAATAAGAAAATCAGAAAAAAATGAAAAGAAAAAAAGGTGTTGCTCTTCTAGACCATAAATATGTTTACAATGCGGCTTAAAATGGGTGTGCAAGTCCTATAAATATAACCTCCTTCCAAACACAGCCATGCCAACTCACGTACATGGAAATATATTTTATATTTGCGTCAATCTATATACTAAAGGGCATTTTAATATTATCGATTTCTCTCCTTACTTCATGTCCGATATTGAATGTAACATCACTTGGATCACGCTATATTTCGAAGAGAGAATTTTGAATGTTTAAAATACTCGCCTACATTTCGAGGAGTTTGTTGTGACGAAAACATAACAAAAAACATCGAAGGATTGGTGCGTGTTATGGTAGTTCATTTGAGTTGTCCAACGGGGTTAAGTCCATGGACTGAAGCTCATTGTTTTGCCATCACCCCATTCCTTAGTAATCAGTGCAACATTTGTTATAAGTTGAATAAGTATCGTTCCTATGTGATAAGATACATTTCATAGACATTGAATCGGTTGAAAGTTCTTTGAAGATCTCTCACCTGTCAAGTGGTTCCTGGTAAACATTAGAATTTCATCATGATAGAAAGACGTTACTTAACACATCCGATGTACAATGTGAAGATGAGACGAGTTTTTAGCATAGGTCATCATCATCCGTCATCAAATGTAACTTAACTGTCGAAATAAACCGACTATTTAGTGCGACATCGGTGCTTTCAGTTCTACATTCACGCAGCTCGTCCGCCATTTTGAATGTGGCTGCCACGAAACTGGGTCGAGAGCTAGTCTAGGCCAATCAGAAAGAAGACGCCGTGTTCAAAGAAATCTGAGTGCTTAACTGTTACGAATCTGGATTTTGATTTTGAAATCGGGAATTTGGATTTTGCGGTAAAACATGAAATCCAAAAACGACTTTCATCGCTGAGAAATCCATCCTCAAAGTGGATCTCAATTAAGAAATCCAACTCCAGATCTCGTTAATTACTATGTTTTGCTCAAAAAGGATCTCTTCTAGGAGATAACTTCCAATGAGTTTAACTGTTGCCATCCAAGACAACGACGCACGCAGTAAAAAGACCGGTAAGGAATTGGGTCGGGTACGTCGCCCCGTTGTGATTCAGAAGTGACTTAGCAGTCGTTGCGACGAGACTTCAGCGCTATCTTCGTTCTTGAATATCCAAACCCTGGCTCTTTAAAGATCGCCATCACAAAGTTTCGGTTTCATAGACAGCTCTAGGGACAAGGAATTTACCTTCTTTGAGAATTATGCAACAAGCGAAAACAGAGGATAATTACTGATAATAAAAGTAAGATTTTGATTGGAATCCTCATGGACAATTGGACTTTTTACAAAATTATTCTAATCTAGTCTCGCGTCTGTTTATTCATCTGTCAAATTTTAGAGCCACTTTGCAAAAATTTAGCGATAAATTTTCACAAATACACTGAATAAGAGAAGGAAGGGGACCTACTTATCCTGGAAATGAGTTTTGGATTAATTCCAAACATTATTATTTACAAGTGCAATTTACGTAAATCCCACGCGTTTCGATCGCGACGGGAAAACCAGCGAAATGATGCCCTGAATTTGTTGAATAGAACGATAATGCCAACACCGGAAGTCGAAAAAGTGTCCTGTCAGGACAATCCGCGCGCTCTCCCGTTCTGAAATAACGTTCCCGTTCCCGTCCCCTTGCTAACTCACTCTCATGTTACGCAAGGAGTAAGAAACGCGATAGAATAAAATTCAATTGTGAAGAGCAGAAAAGATGCCATAAGTGTAGCTTAGCACTTTCCAAACACTTTTTAAAAGAGACACAAAGTTTTGGTGGATTAGATTAAATTATGAACCTGTTTAATTCTGACGGAATTAGAATGAAATAGGTTCCAGTAATCAAAACGATTACACAATGGTTTCAACCACAAAACAAATTTACAACAGAATTCAAAAGCACCTGAGCAATTATACTAAAATAATTATTCGTTTCAGGGTCAGTGAATAATGTCGAATTAATTCGGGGATTACTCATCAATATTCATTTCGCCTTTGGCGAACAATGAACAATGTAAAAACGAAAGAAATATTGTGACTTTCCCTTTGAGCATGGCTTACCTCTGAAATTTAAAAATTCTAAACAAAAAGTAACACTGCTTGATCGTGATGTTGAAAAGCATAATTCGTCCGCGTATCAAGATTCTAATATGGCATACCTATGGGCTGTTCAATTTTGAATTCCCTGAGCTTCGTTTCTTTGCAACGCTTGATGAGAGGAATTTTTTGAGACTGACTTTGTGTGTAGAATGTTGACCCTCCCTCCTAACTTTTCGCCGTAATTCCTCCGTGTTTGTCCGGTATCTAATCTAACCACGGAAGATAATCTTTACTAAATGGCTCAACAGAGTCAATAGGGTCGGCGGTTAAAAAGTCTACGACGTCGAAATGGGTAAAAAAGAGGAAATCAAATGGTTCAACACAGGAATCAAGTGAATTGTAAGTCGCCAGGTTTGAGTCTTTTCTAACCGGGGTTACCTCATCCTGTTGTATAGCATGCTGTTCAGCTGCCAAGTTTTGCTTGGGAAACAAAAAATTCTTTTGTGGTATGTTCAGCTGTTCTAAAGGGCTCCTGTCTGCCAAGACTCCTGGTTTTTTTCCCAGGCGAGAGGAAGAGGTTTCGTGGTGTTGCTCCGTAAGTTTTGAACCATGGTTCGAGATCTTTTCCGGAAGGGAAGCTATTGTCTCTCTCAGAGAGTGACTTGCTCTTTTTTTCCACCATCAAAGTATTTTTTCCTTTCAATGTCGTCAGTGCTTTCCAAATTACTGATTTTTTTGCTCTCTGGCCAATTTATTATTCGCTTCCCGTATGATATTATTGAGCCATTCTCTTACAGCTTTCTTAGTTTTCTCTAAATCTCTGGTCATTACATACATATACTTTATTTATGCTCGAAATTCAGTGTAGCTGTAGAGCTAATATCTTCGAAAAATAAGCTAAAATAAAATGAAAATATGCTATCTTACAATTCCAATATTATTTATAAACTATATACAACATTATGCATGCAGAGGGAAATATAACTTGTAGATCTACTGTGGAAAAGCTTCATATCTAAAGATCTCCTGCTTGAATTATAGAAAATTTAATGTTTTGTAAGTGTTTGGGAGAGAGTTCAATATTTTGCTTGCTAAGTATGAAAAAGAGTGCAGACCGTATGTCGTTGTTTTTGGTTTGGGAAGGGACATGATATGATTTCCGCGCAAATTGTAGGATGAAGACCGTACGTTGAACATATCTTTTAAATAACCGGATAATTCGTAAAGAACAGAGTCTTATGTAACGTGATCGTGAAGTTCTGGAGGCGTCTAATGAATAGAGATTTTAAGTTAACTTTGCATTGTAAAATGTCATATGGAGAGCTGTAGTCCTGTAGTATAAACCTAAGAATGCGCTTATTTAGATTATCTACTTTGTCGGCATTGCGCGCACCACAGAAATGCCAAACAGAAGAACAGTAGTAAGAATGCGGCAAAATAAAGGCTTTATAAAGCTTCAATAGCGTCTCCTTATTAATAAGTTTCCGAAATCTAAGCATTACGTTAAATTGATTATTTATTTTCTTACAGATAACTGATACATGATTATTAGAAGAAAGCCTATTATCTATTGTCATTCCAAATATATCTATCGAATTATTTACTGGGAAACAAAAATTGTGCTCAGTTTTTTCCCAGGATTAGAGCTTGGTGCTTTTTCTCGTTAACAATCATGCCATTGTTTTTATACCAATGATTTGCGACATTAAATTCTTGACAAATGCACTTTTCCAGTGCAAGTGAATAAATCTGATGTTCGTCTTCGTATGCGTCACTGGACAGTTTGATTCCAGAAAGGCTCTCGTAAGTAACCATAGTGACTGGGTTCCCTTCTTTCCATCTTTTGCGGAAAATGTACTTTTTGCTTTCCTGCCACTAGTTGCTATCTCTTCTCTATCAACCGTGCTTTGCTGCCTCTTATCCTTGCTGGCTAAGCTCATGAACCCTTGGTGAAGCGTTGAATATTCAACTAGATGGTAAGACTTGTTCGCCGGGATTAGAAACGAGAAAGCGTGTTTTTTCTTTGTAAGTTGTTCTTAGGTTGTCATTTGGAATGTCAGACTTTGTGAGAACCTTACCATCAGTTTGGAAAGCGATCGACCTTTTATCTTTCTTCACTTGCGCCAACTCTAGTTTCAAAAGTTCTGTCTCCTTGTGAGCTTCTAAAAGTTTCTCCTTTACCTCTCGCAGTAGAATCTCTGCGTCAGTCGTACTTTTGATAAGTCTTTTTATTTCCTCGTCTCCTTCGTTTATAACTTTGCTTTTCTGGTTAATTTCCCGGCGCAATTCAAAGTTGAGGGAGGTCACGTCTTGAGTACTGATAAGTAATTCCTGGATCTTTTCCTTTTTCTTAGCGCACTGATTGAATCAGTATTCAGAGTTGCTCTTAACACTAATTCAGATCTTTCTTTAAACACTTCATTTCTTCCTCTAACACTTCCCCATAAACTATTTTCCTTTGAGGAGTTTCTTGTAGCTCTTGGATCTTCTTTTGATAGACTTTTTTCGTCAGAGTTCTCATGCTGTTCCCTCAGGTAAAGGGGTTTATTTGCTGTGTCAGTAGATTCAGTCTTAAAGGTACATAGTAGACTTGCTTCTTCAGACGAGTTTGAACCTATTGCCGTCTCCTTGACAACGTTCAGCTCGTTTTCTAAAGTCTCCAACTCTTGCTGCAACATATGCTCAACAGCTGTCTTATTTTCAAGAGTTTCCTCAAATCCTCGGATCTGACCCTGATAACTGCTATCAAAAGCTATGAGACTTATAGTCTGCCCGGTGAGTTCTTTGGGCTCAGTTGTATTTTTAGACGAGTGGAAAGTTGGAAATTTGTCGCATAGCATTTCCTCTGACCTTGCGACTATGTCCTCGTTTGCGTCGTCTTGTCTGTGTTCAAGGAAAGCTCAAGGCTTTACCACGTGTTGTGAGACCATCAGTCTCCCGTTTGCGCTCCCAATTACTTTCTCGGTCGGCCTCCTGACTTAACGACGCACTTACCAAGTTACTGTTAACCGAAACGGAAGTGTTAATAGAGCTCTTTGAGCTTCCTTGATGCATTTGTATTTGGATCGTCACATACACCTACAGCATCACTTGAAGAGGAAAAACTTATTCCTGTCAGGGAGGATTCTGACGAAGGTAGCTCAGCACTTGATTCACTTGACAGACTCTTGATACTTCCACTTTGGGAAAAAATGCTTTCACCAGAGGTATGCGTACGTCCTTCACCTGACTGAAAAAAATTAATACTTATTAAGTGAAAAATCTGCTCTATTATTCAGATTGGAATAGTCCTATGAAGTGTCGATAGCATTCAAAAATAATCTTGGTATTGCATATTGTGCTCTGTAATTGCAATATAAAACTCGCCCCACTTCCCAACCTTTTCGCCTGCGCAATCATTCGTTTTATCTACGTTGAGTTCTTATTGGCTGTTTGGCATTTTAAAATTCTACCCGGTTGGTTTAACGATAACATCAACTTTGATCTTCAAAGAAGAAACCGAACTGACAAAGAAAGAATACTTACCCCAGCGGTTTCCACTTCAATATCCGATTTCGTGTCATCAGTCTCCTGAGGCTCTTCATTCTTTTTAGTTTCTGAAGATTCAAGGAAAGAACTCCTTTACAAACACGAACTTGTCACCTTAGCGTCTCAATTCTATCCCCACAATTTAAAAATGCATGTCCTCGACAGCTTGCTGATGCTACATTTTCCTCTTCCCTACTAAGATGTGTCTAAAGATGTAATAAACCACGTTTATAGGTATGAGAGCGAGCCAGGAGACCTGGATCGAGTACACATGGTCAAGGTTCACGAGGCAAATTTTGTGACACAAAAAACCTGACCTGTCAAAACAAAAAACTTGGCACTAAAACTTAACTAGAAGCGGAAAGGAGGTTACAGGATTTGAATCACCATATTAACAAAAAACCTTAATTGGTAATTGGCTTCGTCGTCTTAGGAGCCTGGATTCCAGGGCTGTAGCAAAAGTATTTTGCAACTGAAAGGGGTGGTTTTCTACACAGCGTTATAGTATTATTGAATAAGACTGCAGTTTTCTTAGCACGATATGCCAGACCTGAAATGGTACTTTGAGTTTGCTCTCCAATTCCCTTCGTGTCGGATAAATTAGCTTTGCCTCCATTGTCTGATGTGGCTACGGTAACTACTGATTCTTCTGACCCCATGAAACGCTTTATCGTCCCCGTAAAAATGTCTTCCATTATTTTGAACATCGAATGATGAACTTTATTAACATCGTCTCTATCAATGACCACCTAAAGATGATGAAAAAGGAATCAAAACATCTCTACTTCACTTGGTAAATGCGATTATTCAGTATGTATTTACTAAGACTAAACTACTGCATGACTAATCCCTATCAAAGACTTTCACATTTTCGCAGTCAACTTTCTTAGCAAAGAGGAGTTAGTTAATCATAACTTTATTGTAATTCCTTCTAGCTGAAGTTATGAAATTACGTTCGTGTTCTTCGAACCTTCTGTGGAGAAACATATCATTTGCATACTAATTTTGAACGAGTTGCGCAAAAACTGTTGGTTTGAGAGGTCTGATGGTACGATGAGCGTAGTCCTTCAAACAGTTTTGGTCAAAATTAGCAAAGTCATAGTCACAACCACTCCAATGATGAGTTTCTGAAGTCCCCAAAGCTTTACTATATTGCTGTCAAGGCTATAAAACAGCCTTTTCCTCTCATTTTAGACTAACAGAGAATACCCGTTGCTATTTAGGCTGACCCGCTCCTCTGCCACGTACCAGTCAAAGCACACGTTGCTATAGGTATACCCCACCTGTCGTCCTTGTAAGTCAGCTTGCGGTAACCCCTCCAACTCAGCTTTCAAGCGCTTTCTCTCGGACTCGTGCCAGTTAAACAAGTCATAAATACCATCAGGATCCAATAATTTATAACCAGTTCCGTGGGGTATGTAATCAACATTTTGATGTTTGGCTCGGAGCGAGCTCTTTGTGGATATTGGCACTAAAGATGATGGTCTATAGCAGTGGGTAGCCTCCTCGTCGTCCAAAACAGACGAAACTCGACGTGATAATTCCTTCGTCATTTGCGCCCTTAAATCTGTAGGGTTCTGATCAATTGATGCTTTTCTTGGAAATTTAACTCACGGAATGGGAAGCGTGGGTGGAAGGAGGACGTCATTGCCAGCTAGGGCTTCATGACTGCCGCCCCCATTGATTTTTGCTTCAATTCCAGAAGTATTTTGTTTCTCAGTTGTCCTATTTCTTGATCAGACAAGTTCATGGAAACGTTTAAAACTTTTGGCTTCTTCTTTCGCCATGATTCTTCTTCCTTCTTCGCAACCATTTCCTGAAAACGCTCCCCAAGAACATTGTTCAATTTTAGAGCAAAGCTGTTCTTCCATTGCTTGATCCTGCTAAACGCTTGTTGCTCTATTTCTGACGCATACTTAGGAATGTCAGTCAGAGGGGAGCCTGAGGCGATTGTTGCTCTACGTTCACTCTGCTTAGTCCTCCACATCCTGACAGCAGCCCCCACTTTTGACACATCATCATTTCCGCTTTTTGATGAAACACTCTATAAAAATAACATCACTGAAAATTATTTAATTATTCGTTTGCTTTTAAGGTGTCACTTTTTGGGAATCAGCTTTCTCTTACTGTGTCATAATTTGATAATCTAACTAAGGAATGTAAAAATACTATTTTATACAATTTTTATATCTAAATGTGGTCTGAACGAAGTATTTCAATATAATTACTTATCTGTATATTCTTATACTTACTATATTTCATTTGTAATTCATATTTGATGTGCTCAGCTTGTAAGTTTTTACACGTGAGCCTATGGCTCGGATATATAGGGCAACCTTATTTCAAACTATGACATTAATGAAATGATTGACTGATTGATTGAGTTTGCTGGTTGTCATTTATAGTCCAGAGTTGGCAAAAGCGCTAAGGGAATGAAGTGTCTTGCCATTAAAGAGAAAATATCCCGGCTAAGGCTGAGACTAGTGACCTTTAGCAAACCACGCCGACGACGGCAACGAGGAGGTGGCAGACAAAAGATCTAATGAGCAGAACGATAGCTCGGCGCGAGCCTTTTAAAAATGTGTACATTTCTTTGCCGTTCTCTGCAAAATAACAACTTGAAATCATCAAAACTTGCGTGGTCTCAAAAAGGGTATCCCACGGCAAATTAGTTAATCTTCCATTTAGTACTCCACGCCGCTCTCATACGTTATGCTGACATTAACTTGTGGCGCTGTGAGAAATAATAAGGAGATCCAGTAATTCGGGAGATCCAACTGAAAATATATATTCATTTTTAAATCGACGTCTTCCGCGGCGTTGTCGTCCTAACTGCTAAAGGTCCCCTCTGAGACCTCAAGAGGACGCTCACGAACGACAAGCCTTCCACTTTTAAACTATTTCATTAAAATTTAGCGAAATTTTTGTTACAATCTTTTCATTTGCTGGTTCTATTTTATCTTTTCAAATCTTACCATTTCAGACCATTTCATGAGAACTCAAGACTTTCTCAGCAACTTCGTTCACAGGAGAAACAGCTGAAGGAGTCTTACGATCCTGCAAAGTATAATCGAATACAACTTCTTTTAGAGTTTTAAAGCTTTACCTCAAACAAAAATTTTTGACACAATTTTTTTTTTACCTGGGGGGTAACATGCAGTTAGCATTTTATGGAGCACTTATCAGACAAACGAACCAACTGTGATAGCCCCACTCGCTAACGAGCTTTCTTTAGCTCGGTGGGTAGATCATTTTAGCGGTACATTCGGTAAATAATACAGGTTAATACAGGGTGACCGCTTAATACAGGTTCTACAGATGCGGAGTATTATAAAAAAAACGATAAACAAGGCCACTCTAATGAATATTTACTACTTAATGACCACTTAACCCTTTAACTCCCAGATCAGATTTGCAATTCTTCTTACTGTCAACCATACAATTCTTATAATGCTAGTTCAGAGAATTTAGTATTGGATCAACATATTATCCCCAAATTGATATTTTTCTTTATTCTCATCACTTATCTGGTTGACATTGTCTTGATATTGTTAGGAGAAATTCTGTCTTGGTCACTCATGGGAGTTAAAGGATTAATAAGAGACACAGGATTGCTCAGGAGAAGAGATGCTACAAAATACGCTGACGTCCCTCGGGAATCACTGTCTTTGGTAGAGATGAAGCAGAGGTGCTAGTTTGAATATTTAATAACTTTCCCGAGTTAATCCTAATTTTCCTCCTCAATACAGTGCCACTTAATACAGGTTCGACTGTAATCGGCGGGGGCACGATCCTTGCCTGGAGTCACATCTTTTAAATTACCAGTCAACCTTGTCTGGCATGAAGTCACATTTTTTAAATTACCAGTCAGTCACCTCGTTTTTGACATTTCTAAATCAACTCTGGTAAGTCTCTCTTTCTCAGCAAAGTCCATTGCGTGAGTTAGAAAAAAAAGAACGGTGTAAAATATTGATTGCAGCGCGCCACAGGGATCACTGGGAGTGGCCTCACTGTTTTTTTAATTTTTTTTTTTTTTTAATCGCGCGATGGAATTCGCCGAAAAGCGAAAAGGAGGGACTGCTCGTAGTGTAGTTACGAAGCGCTTGGTAAAATTCTAAAATTAAATCGTTACTCTCATCATAGCTTCGTTTTCTTCGTCGACCTCTTGGACCATCAAGAATGACGGCTGTTTGGATGTAGATTGTCTTCTATTGCGATTTACCCAGTGACCCGTCACTTCTTCAACTTCAAGAGGCTCTTGGGATGGAAAATGTTGATCACAAATTTGGCTCTGGTAATTATCCACAAGTGACATCACTGACGGAGAACGAGACCTAAATGCCTCTGAGGTGTGTCTCAGCGAAGATAAACTGCCTTCTTCTCTCAGGTTTTTCAACGATTGTTCGGGAAATTGAAGCCGCGTTGGAGACGCTTTAACTTTGTGCATCGTTTCTTGGCCTCGTGAACGTTTCTCTTCCATATCGGTAAGCTCCATGTTCGGACCGGTCCCTTGGGCTTAACTGGAGCGGGTTCTGAGTAGGACAAAAAGATGCTTCTCTCATAAGAAATATTAATCAGTTTAACCAGTTGTATGATTTACCTTCTTCTTTGTCCCCTTTAGGTTCAGTGATTAAAGTCGGCTCTCATTTAGGAGCCTGGGATCAGAATAGCCAACAACCGTTTTGTGATAATTAGTACCAGTCAAATGTTTCTTTTCTTTTCCTGCATCTGGAGCAAACTCGTATGCATGTACGTGCTGGCGAAAGGAGGCAGATAGGTCGTGCCAAGGAGACTAACTTATACTCACAGGGAAAACATTTGATAACACTTATTTCATGATCACTCATTTTACCCATGAGATATCATTACAGAAGTTTTGGTTTTACAAAGCACCCTTTAAATCAGTATCACGAATAACCACTTAGAGATCTTGGGAACAAGTTATCGCGTTTATACAACATCTACGAGAGCGAAGAGTGGTAGCTTTGCTAAATATGGCGACTGCTGGAATCGGGATAAAAATATAAGTCCCAAGATCCCTCGGCCATTTCCAGTCGCTCGTACCCAAATTGTTGAACCTGTTTTGTTGTTGAGCTTGAAGCTTTATACCGTGTTGGTTTTGACGCGATTCTCAGGGGTTGCAGACTAGGAAAATTTGTGTTGATGTTGAGTTACTTCGATTGTTGGATCTAGTGTATTTGGAGTGTCGATATTGATAATAGCTGTTGAATTTGGACAAATTTTATCGTTGACCTTAATAATAAATGTTGATGTTGGCAGCAATCTGATCGGTTGAATTTTGCACCACTACGGCTTCCATAGAGTGTTCCTGACCAGTATGGTTGCTACATAAGAACTCTGGCCACTGTGAACCATTAAGTGAGGGACCTAAATCAATACTTGAGATGTTTCCTTCACTTTTGCAGTGTTTCGGGTCGGACTTGATTCCTCCTTTGACGTTTCTAAGATCTGTGAAAGGCGATACTCGACGCACAGGAAATGCTCATGAGGACTTAGAGACCAAACGTGACTATTAGGAAAAACCACAATTAATTTTGAAAAGATCTGAAACGCCTACGAAGAATGGAACCACAGGCATATTCCATCAGGCATATTCCAAGATTCAGCATAAGCCATTCTAAGGACAAGCCCGTTTTTCCCACCAAAACGGGAAAGTAGGTAATATTTTATATTCAATATGTTCTTTCTTTGATGTTGGAAATTTCCCGTTCTATTTTAATTTTTTGAAATTAGAAGAATTTGACGCGCCCCAAATACACGGGCCGCGACAAGTTAACGCCAAGGCGCTTAATTGAGAAAATATAATGTTGACGCCTCTGAATTCTTATTTGGAAATCATTCCCGATGTCAGTGATCGTAACTGGGGAGAATCTAGAAGCATCTGATCAGTATCGCATTTTATTGTTCAAAGATTGGCTGTACAAGCCACATTGGAGAATCTCAGGGGGGGAGGGAAGGGTTTATATCTTTTATGGTTGACGTTTAATTTTCTTTCAATGCAGTTAGCAAAAGATACATTACTGTTCACTTTTATTTTTATCACAACCAACGGTTAAATTTCGTAATTCTTACACCTAACGGCTATTTTTTTGGCCGTTTTATGGCTATCAGTTAACCCATTCATACCCTCGCATTACAGTATAATACAATACACATCGCATTTTACCCACAATGCCTGGACAGACCTCAAGAAGTGACAAACTTCATCATTCACTCTCACTGAATCAGTTTCATCCGCTGTAAAGTTCTCTGCTAACATGATATGATGATAGCAAAGGAAATCGTTTTGAGGGTCCGTCGTCAGTGTATGAACGAAAAAATAAGGTGGAACATGAATATGGTGTTTTCATTCTTTGTCAGCCAAATTAACAAAAACAATATTGGCAAACTTGCACCACAATCCAAAAAAGATTATTTTTGAGCGCTCTGAATACTCATGAAAAAGTGTGGGCCGATACTTTTCAAGTTCAAACGGATTGAACGAATTTCCCTCTTCAGATTTTCACCTGCTACGCCTACCATTTCCCTTTTG